AACCAGGACTAAACCAGGACTAAACCAGGTCTAAACCAGGACTAAAACCAGGACTAAACCAGGACTAAAACCAGGACTAAACCAGGTCTAAACCAGGTAACCAGGACTAAACCAGGACTAAACCAGGACTAAACCAGGACTAAACCAGGTCTAAACCAGGTCTAAACCAGGAAAACCAGGACTAAACCTAAACCAGGACTCTAAACCAGGTCTAAACCAGGTCTAAACCAGGACTAAACCAGGACTAAACCAGGACTAAACCAGGACTAAAACCAGGACCAAACCAGGTTCTAAAACCAGACTAAACCAGGTCTAAACCAGGAACCAGGACTAAACCAGGACCTAAACCAGGTCAGGACTAAACCAGGACTAAACCAGGGAACAAACCAGGGACCTACCAACCAAACCAGGACCAAACCAGGACCAAACCAGGACCAAACCAGGACCAAAACCAGGACAAAACCAGGACCAAACCAAACCAGGTCTAAACCAGGACCAAACCAGGACCAAACCAGGTCTAAACCAGGACTAAAACCCTAAACCCGGTCTAGACCAGGTCCAGACCTCGTACCAGATCTGAGGGTGAGCGTGAGCTTCTGCGGCTGGATCTGGGTGATCTGCTCGGGCTTCAGTTTCTCGGTGGAGTCCTTCTTGCGGTTGGTCACCGGTTGGTCCTTGTCGACTCTGGTGCTCCCTCGCGGGTTCTCGATCTTCTCAGGAGGACACTTGCGTTGGGCGAGGGACTGCAGGTCGTCGCATCGGGTCGACTTGGCTTCGCCGACGCTCAGGAAACTCTGAAGGAAAAACAAAAGGGTCAAGAGCCACGGAAGAAACCCAAGACCGAAATCTGAGCTTCAACTGCAGCACGAGGTTTTGGAGAGAAACCTTCTGACTGTGGTTTGGTCTCCACTGCGAAACGTTCTAGTCTCCACGGAGAAAAGCATCTGAAGGACCTTCCACCGGAAAAGTTACACAATGCAGCTTTAAACGAATCTGAGAAACCGTTTCAGGACACGACTGCAGAGCCTCAAACCACAGGACGAGAAGATTTTTAAGATTTATTCTGGAGATGTCTGGAGATGTTTTTGGAGATGTTTTGGAGACTGGAGATGTTTTGGAGATGTTTTGGAGATGTCTGGAGATGTCTGGAGATTTGTTTTGGAGATGCTGGAGATGGAGGATGTTTTGGAGATGTTGGAGATGTCTGGAGATGTTTTGGAGTTTTGGAGATGTTTTGAGATTTTTTGGAGATGTTTTTGTTGATGTTTTTGAAGATGTTGGAGATGTTTTGGAGATGTCTGGAGATGTTTTGGAGATGTCTGGAGATGTTTTGGAGATGTTTTGGAGATGTTTTGGAGATGTCTGGAGATGTTTTGGAGATGTCTGGAGATGTCTGGAGATGTCTGGAGATGTCTGGAGATTTTTTGGAGATGTTTTGGAGATGTTTGGAGATGTTTTGGAGATGTTTTGGAGATGTCTGGAGATGTTTTGGAGATGTCTGGAGATGTCTGGAGATGTTTTGGAGATGTCTGGAGATGTTTGGAGATGTTTTGGAGATGTTCTGGAGATGTCTGGAGATGTCTGGAGATTGTTTTTGGAGATGTTGGAGATGTTTGGAGAGAGATGTTTTGGAGATGTTTCTGGAGATGTTTTGGAGATGTTTTGGAGATGTCTGGAGATGTTTTGGAGATGTTTTGGATGTTTTGGAGATGTTTTGGAGATGTTTTGGAGATGTCTGGAGATGTTTTGGAGATGTCTGGAGATGTTTGGAGATGTTTTGGAGATGTCTGGAGATGTTTTGGAGATGTCTGGAGATGTTTTGGAGATGTTTTGGAGATGTTTTGGAGATGTTTTGGAGATGTCTGGGATTGTTTTGGAGATGTTTTGGAGATTTGGAGATGTCTGAGATGTGGAGATGGGAGATGTTTTGGAGATGTTTTGAGAAGAGATGTCTGGAGATTTGGAGATGTTTGGAGATGTTTTGGAGATGTTTGGAGATGTCTGGAGATGTTTTGGAGATGTTTGGAGATGTTTGGAGTTTTGGGAGATGTTTGGAGATGTTTTGGAGATGTTTTGGAGATGTCTGGAGATGTTTTGGAGATGTTTTGGAGATGTCTTGGAGATGTTTTGTTTTGGAGATGTTTGGAGATTGGAGATGTTTTGGAGATGTCTGGAGATGTCTGGAGATGTTTTGGGGATGTTTTGGAGATGTTTTGGAGATGTCTGGAGATGTCTGGAGATGTCTGGTGATGTCTGGAGATGTTTTGGAGATGTTTTGAAGATGTCTGGAGATGTTTTGGGGATGTTTTGGAGATGTTTTGGAGATGTTTTTGGAGATGTTCGATGTTTTGGAGATGTTTTGGGAGATGTTTTTTGGAGATGTTTTTTTGGAGATGTTTTGGAGATGTCTTGGAGATGTCTGGAGATGTTTTTGTTTTGGAGATTGTTTTGGAGATTTTGGAGATGTTTTGGAGATGTCTGGAGATGTCTGGAGATGATGTCTGGAGATGTTTTGGAGATGTTTTGGAGATGTCTGGAGATGTTTTGGAGATGTCTGGAGATGTTTTGGAGATGTCTGGAGATGTTTTTGATGTCTGGAGATGTTTTGGAGATGTCTGGAGATGTTTTGGAGATGTTTTGGAGATGTTTTGGAGATGTTTTGGAGATGTCTGGAGATGTTTTGGAGATGTTTTGGAGATGTTTGGAGATTTTTGGAGATGTTTTGGAGATGTTTGGAGATGTCTGGAGATGTTCTGGAGATGTTTTGGAGATGTCTGGAGATGTTTTGGAGATTTTGGAGATGTTGGAGATGTCTGGAGATGTTGGAGATGTTTTTTTGGAGATGTTGGAGATGTCTTGGAGATGATCTGGAGAGTGGAGATGTTTTGGAGATGTTTGGAGATGTTTTGGAGAATGTTCTGGAGATGTCTGGAGATGTTTTGGAGATGTTTTGGAGATGTTTCTGGAGATGATGTTTGGAGTCTGGAGATGATGTTGGAGATGTTTTGGAGATGTTTCTGGAGATGATGTTTTGGAGATGTTTTGGAGATGTCTGGAGATGTCTGGAGATGTCTGGAGATGTTTTGGAGATGTTTTGGAGATGTTTTGGAGATGTTTTGGAGATGTTTTGGAGATGTTTGGAGATGTTTGGAGATGTTTTGTGTTTGGAGATGTTTTGGAGATGTTTTGGAGATGTTGGAGATGTTTTGGAGATGTTTTGGAGATGTTTTGGAGATGTCTGGAGATGTTTTGGAGATGTTTTGGAGATGTTTTGGAGATGTCTGGAGATGTTTTGGAGATGTTTTGGAGATGTTGGAGATGTCTGGAGATGTTGGAGATGTTTTGGAGATGTTTTGGAGATGTCTGGAGATGTTTTGGAGATGTTTTGGAGATGTTTTGGAGATGTCTGGAGATGTTTTTGTCTGGAGATGTTTTGGAGATGTCTGGAGATGTTTTGGAGATGTTCTGGAGATGTTTTGGAGATGTTTTGGAGATGTTCTGGAGATGTTTGGAGATGTTTTGGAGATGTTTTTGGAGATGTTCTGGAGATGGAGATGTCTGGAGATGGAGTTTTGGAGATGTTTTGGGGATGTTTTGGAGATGTTTTGGAGATGTTTTGGAGATGTCTGGAGATGTTTTGGAGATGTTTTGGAGATGTTTTGGAGATGTTTTGGAGATGTTTTGGAGATGTCTGGAGATGTTTTGGAGATGTTTTGGAGATGTTTTGGAGATGTCTGGAGATGTTTTGGAGATGTTTTGGAGATGTCTGGATGTTTTGGAGATGTTTTGGAGATGTTTTGGAGCTGGAGATGTTTGGAGATGTTTTGGAGATGTTTTGGAGATGTCTGGAGATGTTTTGGAGATGTTTTGGAGATGTCTGGAGATGTTTTGGAGATGTTTGGAGATGTTTTGGAGATGTTTTGGAGATGTTTTGGAGATGTTTTGGAGATGTTTTGGAGATGTTTTGGAGATGTTTGGAGATGTTTTGGGAGATGTTTTGGAGATGTTTTGGAGATGTCTGGAGATGTTTTGGAGATGTCTGGAGATGTTTTGGAGATGTCTGGAGATGTTTTGGAGATTTTGGAGATGTTTTGGAGATGTTTTGGAGATGTCTGGAGATGTTTTGGAGATGTTTTGGAGATGTTTTGGAGATGTCTGGAGATGTTTTGATGATGTTTTGGAGATGTCTGGAGATGTGGAGATGTTTGGAGATGGAGATGTTTTGGAGATGTTTTGGAGATGTTTTGTCAGATGTTTTGGAGATGTTTTGAGATGTGGAGAGATGTTTTGGAGATGGAGAAGATGTTGGAGATGTCTGGAGATGTTTTTGGAGATGTTTTGGAGATGTTTTGGAGATGGAGATTTTGGAGATGTTTTTGGAGATGTTTTGGAGATGTCTGGAAGATTTTGGAGATGTTTTGATGTCTGGGAGATGTTTGGAGATGTTGGAGATGTTTTGGAGATGTCTGGAGATGTTTTGGAGATGTTTTGGAGATGTCTGGAGATGTTTTGGAGATGTTTTGGAGATGTTTTGGAGATGTTTTGGAGATGTCTGATGTTTTGGAGATGTTTGGAGATGTTTGGAGATGTCTGGAGATTTTTGGAGATGTCTGGAGATTTTTGGGAGATGTTTTGAAGATGTCTGGAGATGTTTTGGGGATGTTTTGGAGATGTCGATTTTTGGAGATGTTTTGGAGAGTTTTGGAGATGTTTTGGAGATGTCTGGAGATGGTTTTGGGATGTTTTGGAGATGTTTGGAGATGTTTTGGAGATGTTTTGGAGATGTCTGGAGATGTTTTTGGAGATGTTCTGGAGATGTTCTGGGATGTTTTGGAGATGTTTTGGAGATGAGATGTTTGGAGATGTTTTTGTTGAGGATGTTTGGAGATGTTTTGGAGTGTCTGGAGATGTTTTGGAGATTCTGGAGATGGAGATGTCTGGAGATGTTCTGGAGATGTTTTGGAGATGTTTTGGAGATGTCTGGAGATGTTTTGGAGATGTCTGGAGATTCTGGAGATGGAGATGTCTGGAGATGTCTGGAGATGTTTTTGGAGATTTTGGAGATGTTTTTGGAGATGTCTGGAGATGTTTGGAGATGTCTGGAGATGTTCTGGAGATTTTTGGAGATGTTTTGGAGATGTTTTGGAGATGTTTGGAGATTTTGGAGATGTTTGGAGATGTTTTGGAGATGTTTTGGAGATGTCTGGAGATGTTTTGGAGATGTTTTGAGATGTTTGGAGATGTTTGGAGATGTTTGGAGATGTTTTTGGAGATGTTTGGAGATGTTTTGGAGATGTCTGGAGATGTTTTGGAGATGTTTTGGAGATGTTTTGGAGATGTTTGGAGATGTTTTGGAGATGTTTGGAGATGTTTTGGAGATGTTTTGGTGACATTTGGAGATGTTTTGTTGTTTTTACCTCGTCCGTGCACCAGCCGCACGCCTCCGACACCTGGATACACTCTCCACACGACTGAGCATTGGCCTTAAGACAAATACTGCCCTCTGCTGGAACAAAGAGGAAACACATCAGACTGAACCAGGATCTAAACCAGGACTAAACCAGGACTAAACCAGGTCTAAACCAGGACTAAACCAGGACTAAACCAGGTCTAAACCAGGACTAAACCAGGACTAAACCAGGACTACCAGGTCTAAACCAGGACTAAACCAGGACCTAAACCAGGTCTAAACCAGGACTAAACCAGGTCTAAACCAGGTCTAAACCAGGACTAAACCAGGACTAAACCAGGTCTAAACCAGGTCTAAACCAGGTCTAAACCAGGTCTAAACCAGGTCTAAATTTAAAATGGTGGATAATGAATCGCAGACTGGTGACTGTTGTTTTGTAGTTTTTTTCGTGACGTCTGTGAAATGAAACTAAACTCAAACATCTGAGTTGAATCTGGAACATGAAGTCAGGACGAACCTTTCTGAGCCGCCGAGGGTCTGAGGAGCAGAACCGCAGACGCACACACCAACGTCAGCCACATCTGGAACAAAAAACACACACAAACATCACACAAACATCACACAAACATCACACAAACATGACACAAACATGACACAAACATGACACAAACATGACACACAAACATCACACAAACATCACACAAACATCACACAAACATCACACAAACATCACACAAACATCACACAAACATCACACAAACATGACACAAACATGACACACAAACATCACACAAACATCACACAAACATCACACAACATGACAAAACATGACAAAAAACATCACACAAACATCACACAAACATGACACACAAACATGACAAAAACATGACACAAACATGACAAAAACATGACAAAAACAAACATGACAAAAACATGACAAAAACATGACAAAAACATCACACAAACATGACACAAACATGACACAAACGACACACAAACATCACACAAACATGACACACAACATGACAAACATGACACAAACATGACACAAACATGACAAAAACATGACAAAACATGACACAAAAACATGACAAAACATGACACAAAAACATCACACAAACATCACACAAACATGACACACAAACATGACAAAAACATGACACAAACATGACAAAAACATGACAAAAACATCACACACACAAACATGACACAAACATGACACACAAACATGACACAAACATGACACAAACATGACACAAACATGACACAAACATGACACAAACATGACAAAAACATGACACAAAACATGACACAAACATCACAAAAACCACACACAAACATCACATAAACATCACACAAACATCACACAAACATGACACAAACATGACAAAAACATGACACAAACATGACAAAAACGACACACAAACATCACACAAACATGACACAAACATCACAAAAACGACACACAAACATGACACAAACATGACACAAACATCACAAAAACGACACACAAACATCACACAAACACAAAAAACATCACACAAACATGACACACAAACATCACAAAAACATCACAAAAACAACACACAAACATGACACAAAAACAACACACAAACATGACACACAAACATCACACAAACATGACAAAAACATGACAAAAACATCACAAAAACCACACAAAAACATGGCACAAACATCACATAAACATCACACAAACATGACACACAAACATGACAAAAAACACACACAAACATGACAAAAACATCACAAAAACAACACACAAACATCACAAAAAACATGACAAAAACATCACAAAAAACCACACAAAAACATGGCACAAACATCACATAAACATCACACAAACATCACACAACATGACAAAAAACATCACAACAACATGACACAAAACATCACAAAAACACAAAACACACAAACAATATACATATATTTTTTTTCTATAAAAAAAAAAAAAAAAAAACAAAGGTTTTTTCAGTTTTATTTTGAAAAAAATGGGGAAAAAATGACAGATAATACTCCCTACAACTGTACAACAACTCACCCTTATGTCACAGATAATACTCCCTACAACTGTACAACAACTCACCCTTATGTCACAGATAATACTCCCTACAACTGTACAACAACTCACCCTTATGTCACAGATAATACTCCCTACAACTGTACAACAACTCACCCTTATGTCACAGATAATACTCCCTACAACTGTACAACAACTCACCTTATGTCACAGATAATACTCCCTACAACTGTACAACAACTCACCCTTATGTAACAGATAATACTCCCTACAACTGTGTTTTTTTGCTAAAATAAAACACTGTGAAACTGTATTAAACTCACCTTAATTTAATTTTACATTTTGTTTCTTATTTTCAGCGTTTGTCTTTTTTGAAGTGCAGCAGGTAGTTTTACTCAAATCATGATCAAACTTGAATAATTCTCTAGTAACTCCCTGCGGGGACAGAGATGTTTAATGCTGCACTGTGGAACATTGCGGGTAAAGCAACAACGTCTCCATGGAAACAAACAACAAACGGTGAGCGGGAGACCGGCACAAAAGGACGACGGACGCGTTTATTTTACGTCTGAAATCGTGAAGTTTGGGGATTTAAAATGATCTGCAGACAGGAGCAGACAGGAGCAGACAGGAGCAGACAGGAGCAGACAGGAGCAGGCAGGAGCAGACAGGAGCAGACAGGAGCAGGCAGGAGCAGACAGGAGGAGACAGCAGACAGGAGCAGGCAGGAGCAGACAGGAGCAGACAGGAGCAGGCAGGAGCAGACAGAGCAGCAGGCAGCAGAGCAGCAGGAGCAGACAGGAGCAGACAGGAGCAGACAGGAGCAGACAGGAGCAGACAGGAGCAGACAGGAGCAGGACAGCAGACAGACAGACAGGCAGAGCAGGCAGGAGCAGGCAGGAGCAGACAGGAGCAGCAGGAGCAGACAGGGACAGCAGGGCAGACAGACAGGAGCAGACAGGAGCAGGCGAGCAGCAGCAGACAGGCAGCAGCAGGAGCAGAGAACAGGAGCAGACAGGCAGACAGGCAGGAGCAGGAGCAGAGCAGGCAGGGACAGGGCAGACAGGAGCAGACAGGAGCAGACAGGAGCAGACAGACAGAGGCAGGAGGCAGACAGGACAGAGCAGACAGGGAGCAGACAGGAGCAGACAGGAGCAGACAGACAGGGCAGGCAGGAGCAGACAGGAGCAGACAGGAGACAGACAGGGGCAGGCAGGAGCAGACAGAGCAGACAGGAGCAGACAGGAGCAGGCAGACAGAGGCAGGGAGCAGCAGAGCAGGCAGAGCAGACAGGAGCAGACAGGAGCAGACAGGAGCAGACAGGAGCAGGCAGGAGCAGGGCAGGAGGCAGGCAGGAGCAGCAGAGCAGACAGGAGCAGACAGGGGCAGACAGGAGCAGGCAGGAGCAGGCAGGCAGCAGAGACAGGAGCAGACGTCAGGTCTTGTTGGTCCAGACTGAATCAGGGTCTTATCTGGAACTCAGTGACCTCACCCAGGATCTGACTCACTCCTCCTCCTCCTCCTCCTCCTCCTCCTCTCCTCCTCTCCTCTTCTCGTTCTCTCTCTCTCTTCTCTTCCGTCACTTCTCTCTTTTCTCTCTCTTTTCATTCTTTCTCTTCCTCGTCTTGTTCTCGTTTCTCTCAGAGGAAGTGACTCACACTGGAACAAACAAAATACAAAAACCCCCCTGACCCCGCCCCCTCCTCACTGACCCCGCCCCCTCCTCACTGACCCCGCCCCCTCCCTGACCCCCTGACCCCGCCCCTCCCTGACCCCGCCCCCTCCTCCCTGAGAGTCAGTGATGTCATCAAGAGTGAACTAATCAAGACCAAGACCAGTCCAAGACCTCTGAGGGTCCTGAGACCGAGACAGACCGAGACGAAGGTGAGACCGAGACGAGACCGAGACGAAGGTGAGACCGAGACGAGACCGAGACGAGACCGAGACCACAGGGTCCCAAGACCAAGGCAAGACCGAGATGAGACCGAGACCGAGACAAGACCGAGACCAAGACCGAGACCAGACCGAGACGAAGGTGAGACCGAGACGAGACCGAGACGAAGGTGAGAGAGTCCCAAGACCAGGCAAGACCGAGAAGACCGAGACCGAGACAAGACTGAGACAGACCGAGACAGACCGAGACCAAGACAAAACCGAGACAAGACCGAGACAAGACCAAGACCACAGAGTCCAAGACCGAGACAAGACCAAGACAAGACCGAGACCAAGACAAAAACCGAGACAAGACCGAGACAAGACTGAGACCACAAGAGTCCCAAGACCAGGGCAAGACCAAGACAAGACCGAGACCAAGGCAAAACCGAGACGAGACTGAGACGAGACCGAGACAAGACCGAGACAAGACCGAGACAAGACCGAGTCCACAGGGTCCCACGACTGAGACAAGACCGAGACAAGACCGAGATGAGACCGAGACAAACGAGACAAGACCGAGACAAGATCAAGACAAGACCGAGTCCACAGGGTCCCACGACTGAGACAAGACCGAGACCACAGAGTCCCAAGACCGAGACAAGACCGAGACGAGACCGAGACCAAGACAAAACCGAGACAAGATCGAGACAAGACCGAGACGAGACCGAGACAAGACCGAGACAAGACCGAGACCACAGAGTCCCAAGACCAAGACAAGACCGAGATGAGACCGAGACAAGACCGAGACAAGACCAAGACCACAGAGTCCCAAGACCGAGACAAGACCGAGACGAGACCGAGACCAAGACAAAACCGAGACAAGATCGAGACAAGATCAAGACAAGACCGAGACGAGACCGAGACCGTAGGGTCCCAAGACCGAGACGAGACCGAGACGAGACCGAGACCAAATGCACTCAAGTCCGAGTTTTTAGGCTACGAGTAACAACACTAGAGTCAGATGCCCTCCCATGACTCAACGATGAGTTTAAAGAGTCTGTCAGGAGTCAACGCTCGGGTCGTCGTGTTCAGGTGTGTGCTCGGGTCTGTGTTCAGGTGTGTGCTCGGGTCCTCTCGTGTTCAGGTGTGTGCTCGGGTCCTCCTCGTGTTCAGGTGTGTGCTCGGGTCCTCCTCGTGTTCAGGTGTGTGCTCGGGTCCTCCTCGTGTTCAGGTGTGTGCTCGGGTCCTCGTGTTCAGGTGTGTGCTCGGGTCGTGTGTTCAGGTGTGTACGGGTCGTCGTGTTCAGGTGTGTGCTCGGGTCCTCCTCGTGTTCAGTGTGTGTGTGCTCGTGTTCTCGTGTTCAGGTGTGTGCTCGGGTCGTCGTGTTCAGGTGTGTGCTCGGGTCGTCGTGTTCAGGTGTGTGCTCGGGTCGTCGTGTTCAGGTGTGTGCTCGGGTCGTCGTGTTCAGGTGTGTGCTCGGTGTGTGTCTCGTGTTCAGGTGTGTGCTCGGGTTCTTGTGTTCAGGTGTGTGCTCGGGTCCTTGTGTTCAGGTGTGTGCTCGTGTTCAGGTGTGTGCTCAGGTGTGTTCAGGTGTGTGTTCAGGTGTGTGTTCAGGTGTGTGCTCGGGTTCAGGTGTGTGCTCGGGTTCAGGTGTGTGCTCGGGTTCAGGTGTGTGCTCGGGTTCAGGTGTGTGGGTTCAGGTGTGTGCTCGGGTTCAGGTGTGTGTTCAGGTGTGTTGTGTGTTCAGGTGTGTGTTCAGGTGTGTGTTCAGGTGTGTGTTCAGGTGTGTCTCGGGTTCAGGTGTGTGTTCAGGTGTGTGTTCAGGTGTGTGCTCGGGTTCAGGTGTGTTCAGGTGTGTGTTCAGGTGTGTGCTCGGGTCGTCCTCTTGGCTCCTGTGTCTCTTCGGCTGAAGTGAAGTTATGAGGCGAGGCTCTGAACAAGCACAGACCTGTTCACCAACACCTCCACGTCCCGCACGCACAACACAAGAACACCACAAAAACACACTAAAACACACTCCAAAAACACTCCAAAAAAAACACACTAAAAACACTCCAAACTCACACCAAAAACACACTAAAAACACACTAAAAAAACACACCAAAAACACACTAAAAACACTCCAAAAAACACCACAAAAACACACTAAAAACACTCACCAAAAACACACCAAAAACACACTAAAAACACACTAAAAACACTCCAAAAACACACTAAAAACACACTAAAAACACTCCAAACTCACACCAAAACACACCAAAGACACACTAAAAACACACCAAAAACACACTAACAATCACACTAACAATCACACTAAAAACACTCCAAACTCACACCAAGAACACACTAAAAACACTCCAAACTCACACCAAGAACACACTAAAAACACACTAAAAACACACCAAGAACACACTAAAAACACACTATCACACTAAAAACACTCCAAACTCACACCAAAAACACACTAAAAACACTCCAAACTCACACCAAAAACACACTAAAAACACACTAAAAACACGCTAACAATCACACTAAAAACAATCCAAACTCACACCAAAAACACACTAAAAACACTCCAAACTCACGCCAAGAACACGCCAAGAACACACTAAAAACACTCCAAACTCACGCCAAAAACACACTAAAAACACTCCAAACTCACGCCAAGAACACACTAAAAATCACACTAAAAATAGACAAAGAAACACTAAAAACACAGTGTAAACTAAAAATCACACTAAGAAATACACTAAAAACACACTAACAATCACATTAAAAACACACTTAAAATGACACCAAAGAAACAACAAAAACACACTAAAATCATACTAAGAAACAAATTAAAATCACACAAAACAGTAAAAAAAAAAAACACACACTAAAAATGACACCAAAGAAATATGCTAAAAACACAAAAAATACTAAAAACACACTACAAAAACACACTAAAAACACATGAAAAACACTAAAAATCACACTAAAAACACACAAAAAAAACTAAAAACACTAAAAACACACACACACACACAAAAAAAACAACATTAAAAAACACTACAAAACAGACCAAAGACTGGGACTAGACCAGGACTATAGCAGGACTAGAGCAGGACTAGATGTGGGACTAGACCGGGACTAGATGTGGGACTGGGACAGACTAGATGTGGGACTAGATGTGGGACTAGATGTGGGACTAGATGTGGGACTAGATGGGGACTAGATGTGGGACTAGATGTGGGACTAGATGTGGGACCAGACTGGGACTAGATGTGGGACCAGATGTGGGACCAGACCAGGACTGGGTCGGGTCCAGACGGTCTGACACTTGTAAACATGAGGTTAATCACTGTAGTTCAGTTGAGGTATTTCCTGTCCTGGACTCGTCACACTTCCTCGATTCATCACTGCAGCCGGAGTTAAAGTTACACTGAGAACATCTCCATGGAGACAAGCAGACGGAAAGTCCCACAGTAAAGCTTTATGATGCTGTCTGGGAGGTTCCTTTTGCCTTTAGTCTGAACTTTATGTTGAAATATTTCACTTTAAAAATAGATCAAGTGTTTCCCTAAAGAGACTAAACCAGAACTAGACCAGGACTAAGGACTACAAGGAGCCAGAACTGAACCAGGACCAAAACCAGGACTAAAACCAGGACTAAAACCAGGACTACACGAGGACTTCGGCCCGGTCTCGTTCTTGACTCTACTCCTGCTTAAGTTTCAGGAGAAAAGCCAAACCCAAAGAGCTGAGGTCAACCGCTGTGGTCTGGACTTAAGACCAACGTTTATGGACTACAGAGACCAGACCAAGACCAGACCAAGACCAGACCAAGACCAGACCAGACCGAGACCAGACCAAGACCAGGGTTAAACCGGGATTAGACCAGAACGAGACCAGATATAAACCACGGCTGGACCTCAGACCACAGTTTATGGACTACAGGACCTGAAGAAGACCAGGACTAGACCAGGACTAGACCAGGACTAGACCAGGACTAGACCAGGACTAGACCAGGACTGAAACAGGACTGAAACAGGACTGGAGCAGGACTGGGGCAGACTTGGAGAGGCCTGGTCCTGGTCCAGGTCCTGGTCCAGGTCCTGGTCCTGGTCCAGGTCCAGATGTGGTCTGACACGTGTGAACATGTGTGTGGTTAAACACAACTGCAGTTTGTGGTTTCCTGAAAGTTCTTCTCACTTTTTCTCATTTTTCAATGTTTTGTTGTTAAAAACTTTTGTTAAAAACTAAAACAAAAAACGAAGTCTAAGGTGAAGTTTTAAAATAAGAATAATTCATCTGAAATTCATTAAAAAGTGGATTTGTTGAAGATAAAAACTCTCCAGAAAAAGTCACACTCAGACTTGTGGTTTCCTCAAATGAACTTTACTCAAACCAGGACTAAACCAGGACTAAACCAGGACTAAACCAGGACTAAACCAGGACTAAACCAGGTCTAAAACCAGGACTAAACCAGGACTAAACCAGGACTAAACCAGGACTAAACCAGGTCTAAAACCAGGACTAAACCAGGACTAAACCAGGACTAAACCAGGACTAAACCAGGACTAAACCAGGACTAAACCAGGACTAAACCAGGACTAAACCAGGATTAAACCAGGACTAAACCAGGTTAAACCAGGACTAAACCAGGACTAAACCAGGTCTAAACCAGGTCTAAACCAGGACTAAACCAGGACTAAACCGGGACTAAACCGGGTCTAAACCGGGACTAAACCAGGTACTAAACCCTAAACCAGGACTAAACCAGGACTAAACCAGGTCTAAACCAGGACTAAACCGGGACTAAACCGGGACTAAACCGGGACTAAACCGGGTCTAAACCAGGACTAATCCAGGAAACAGAACCACTTGTGTAAATTTTAACACTCGGTGAGTAAACAGAATTATCACGAACTTTACGAACTTTGTCTTGAACCAAAACTAAAAAAAAAAAAACTCTTGACTCCTGCTCACAAATAAAACTCTTAACAACTTTAAACATAAATATAAAACAACAAAAATGTGAAAAATGTGCCGTTTAAAAAAAAATAAAAAATAAATCCGACCAAACTGCAGGAATCTGGCGTCGGTAAATATTTGTTCGACACGGGACAGAGAAAGTGGGACACCCCCCTAAACAAGAACATATGGTCACTCCGAATTACTCCAAAAACCGAGAAAAACACGAAATAAAACCTAAAAACATGCTAAAAATGACGTTAAAGTCAAACACCAGCACGTTTTGACGCCGAAAACCGATAAAAAACACCAAAAAACGTGTTTAGAATGTCGGTTTCGTGCGATTAAATGAAGTAATTGGTCCTTAACACGTTTAGGTGAAGTCACTGGGTCATTTTCGTGGCCTACTTCCAGACACGGACTCGACTCGGTTCTATTATTCAAATAAACGCCGGGGTCCGAACGTGACAGTGACTCGGGGACGTTCAGACGCGTGTTTAAGACGCGCCGAACCGTAAATAACGACATTTTTTATCGTAAATCTGCCGCTTTTTCGCCGCTACTTTCCCCCACACCCAAACTTTAGCCCGAGGACACGCATTCCTCCTGCGCCGCTTCGCTCTTTGTTTTCCGCCTCGCGCTGAAATCACGGACCATAAACGGAAGGAAATTACGTTAAAAAATCGCTCTTACCTTTTGTGATTTTTTCCGTGTTTCAGTCCGACATTTGGGTTTTAAAACTCCAGAAAAACTCCAGTGATGTCCAGTTTTCGCGGACGCTTCGCTGTAAGAAAAAAAAAACAAAAAACAACGCACCAAAAACTCGCAGAAACGCGTTTTAAATGAACTTTTTAAGCGTCTAACGTGGCCCAGGTGAGTCCAGGTGAGTCCAGGTGAGTCCGGAGGAGGTTTGTGAGTAAAATAAAGCCCCGGACGTGTGTTTTTGTCGGAGGAGTCGGACTTCAGTGACTCATTTGAGCGGATCTCTTGTTCTGCTGCAGACCCCGCCCACTCCGGAGGTCCCGGCGAGAGCAGCGAACGGGCATCCGGTGCAAATTAAAGGTAGACGCGTGAATAGTAACACCTCTCACGATCACGTGTTTTACTCGTGAAGATTTAAAAAAAAAAAAACAAACAATCGATACATTTTTTATTTAGAAAAGTTCATTTACGGGGTTATTAAAGCTCTACTGTGTAACATTTCCCGTGGCACGTGACAGGTTAAAGTATTTTTTCACCAAAACATAGTGAACATATTTGTATTTAAGTTTTTATTAAAAGTTTTGTCTATTTTTTTTTGAATCTGGTGAAGTTTATCAAATAGAACAGAAGATGTCGGAAAGACGAGTGAAGTTTAAACAAAACGTCAATAAAGACGCCATCTTGGTACTGGACGAACACTGATTTAAATGACAAGACAAGACCTGGTTTAGTCCTGGTTTAGTCCTGGTTTAGTCCTGGTTTAGTCCTGGTTTAGTCCTGGTTTAGACCTGGTTTAGACCTGGTTTAGACCTGGTTTAGTCCTGGTTTAGACCTGGTTTAGTCCTGGTTTAGACCTGGTTTAGTCCTGGTTTAGACCTGGTTTAGACCTGGTTTTAGTCCTGGTTTAGTCCTGGTTTAGACCTGGTTTAGTCCTGGTTTAGTCCTGGTTTAGTCCTGGTTTAGTCCTGGTTTAGCCTGGTTTAGACCTGGTTTAGTCCTGGTTTAGTCCTGGTTTAGTCCTGGTTTAGACCTGGTTTAGTCCTGGTTTAGTCCTGGTTTAGTCCTGGTTTAGTCCTGGTTTAGTCCTGGTTTAGTCCTGGTTTAGACCTGGTTTAGTCCTGGTTTAGACCTGGTTTAGTCCTGGTTTAGTCCTGGTTTAGTCCTGGGTTTTACCTGGTTTTAGTCCTGGTTTAGACCTGGTTTAGTCCTGGTTTAGTCCTGGTTTAGACCTGGTTTAGACCTGGTTTAGACCTGGTTTAGTCCTGGTTTTAGTCCTGGTTTAGTCCTGGTTTAGTCCTGGTTTAGTCCTGGTTTAGACCTGGTTTAGACCTGGTTTAGACCTGGTTTAGTCCTGGTTTAGTCCTGGTTTAGACCTGGTTTAGTCCTGGTTTAGACCTGGTTTAGTCCTGGTTTAGACCTGGTTTAGACCTGGTTTAGTCCTGGTTTAGACCTGGTTTAGACCTGGTTTAGACCTGGTTTAGTCCTGGTTTAGACCTGGTTTAGACCTGGTTTAGTCCTGGTTTAGACTGGTTTAGACCTGGTTTTAGTCCTGGTTTAGACCTGGTTTAGACCTGGTTTAGACCTGGTTTAGTAGACCTGGTTTAGTCCTGGTTTAGTCCTGGTTTAGACCTGGTTTAGTCCTGGTTTAGACCTGGTTTAGTCCTGGTTTAGTCCTGGTTTTGACCTGGTTTCCTGGTTTAGACCTGGTTTAGACCTGGTTTAGTCCTGGTTTAGACAGAGAAGAGGAGGAGGATAGAAGTGGTGAAGTGTCAGAGTTGATGTTTGTAAAATGAACAGTGACACCGTGTGGACGAAGACGGAACAACAACTCAGAGTTAAACACACACACACACACACACACACACACACACACACACACACACACACACACACACACACACAACACACACACACACACACACACACACACACACACACACACACACACACACACACACAACACACACACACACACAACACACACACACACACACACACACACACACACACACACACACACACACACACACACACACACACACACACACACACACACAACACACACACACACACACACACACACACACACACACACACACACACACACACACACACACACACACACACACACACACACACACACACACACACACACACACACACACACACACACACACACACACACACACAACACACACACACACACACACACACACACACACACAACACACACACACACACACACACACACACACACACACACACACACACACACACACACACACACACACACACACACACACACACAACAGACCAGGCCGTCGTGTTGTGTCCTTGGGCCAGACACTTCCTGCTCCACTGAGTTTTTACAGAAGAACCAGTCGTGACCAGTGAGAGTTTTTCTGAAAACATTTATTTCTGCGTTTCTTTGGAATGTGGCGTCAGTGATGAGACACAGAACCAGAAAACTCTCCAAACATTTAAAACACGGGTGAGTCTGAGTGTGTGTGTGTGTGTGTGTGTGTGTGTGTGTGCGTCTGTGTGTGTGTAAAAGGCCTCTCCTCGTCACCGTGGCAACAAACACAAACCACACTTCAGATTTTACAAACGAGAAACCGAAAAAGGACGAATCAGCAGCGAAACACGAGTCAGAATCATTCAAATTACAATTCAAATTCTGTTCTAATTAAACTGTTCAAAATGTTTTAGTTTAGTTTTTAAAGTTTTAACTCCAAAAATGAGGCGAAATTTGAGTTTTTCAGTGAGATTTTGTGTTTTTAGTTTTTTATCTGAGAAGAAAAATGAGACACGACGTTCCATTTGTTATTTTGAATTTCAATCAAAACAAAAAACAAAAAAATGTGAAAACAGTTTATTAAATTTTTTTGTATTCATATATTTAAAAAAATAGATTTCGACCTCTATTTACAATATTTAATTTAAGTTCATTTCAATAACACCAATCAAAAAACTGTCTCGGTGTTTTTAATTTAATTTTTAGATTTTATTTTCTCTGTTTTATTTCAAGTTCTGCTGCTGGAAGAGAATAAAATATCAAAAAAAATCTAAATTTCAAAATTGAAATACGAACTGAAATTGTTTTTTTAATATAAACTTTAAATTAAATATTGGAAATAAAAATCTGGGTGTCGTTCCTTAATTTGTTTTTCAAAATAAAACCAAAAATAAGAAAATGAAAGAAAAAAAATCAACAATTTTCTTCATTATTTGTCTGCAAAATCAAAATAAAAAAACAGATAAAGATTTGATTTTTTCAGTTTTTGATTTTGTTTTTAAATGAAAAATGGACTGAACCATTTTCAGTCCTGGTTTGGTCCCAGTCCCAGTGCTGGTTCCTGGTCTCAGACTTGGTCCTGGTCCTGATCTCAGTCCCGGTTTCAATCACATTCTGGTCCCAGTCTGGTCCCAGTCTAAGTCCTGGTCTAAGTCCCGGTCTAAGTCCTGGTCTAAGTCCTTGGTCTCGTTCCGGTTTGGTCCCGGACCTGGTTCAGATGTGGTTCAGTTCCTTCTCTGTTTTTTTTTTTTTTTTTTTTTTTTCATTTTTCATTTAAAAACAAAATTGAAAACTAAAAAAAAAAAAAAATCTTTTTTTTTTTTTCATTTTGGTTTTGGAGACAAATAATGAAGTTTTTTTTTTTTTTCATTTTCTTATTTTTGGTTTTATTTTGAAAAACGAATGACCCTTGTGATTCCTCGTCTGATCTCGTCCTTTTTCGTTTCGGTTTCGAGACGTTACAAAAACATTTCTGCAAATATGAATCTCAAATCTACAAGATCAGAATAAAAAACTTTTATCAAACACGAACTCGACTCCGGCTCCTCCTCCGACTCTTTTTATAAAAACATTTAAATACAATCAGTGCAACAGCTCCGGGCCGCAGCCTCCGCCCCGTCTCCACGGCGACCGCAGCCTCCTCCCCGTCGCCACGGAGACGGGGGAGGAGCTTCCTGTTGCCGCGGCGACGGACCTGAACTCTTAAACAGAACAGAATACTGAGGTAAAAATCTCTCTTTATTTATTTACAGGTTTTTCTTTCTTTTTTCCGTCTTTCGAAGCTGAAATGTTCGATATAAAAAGTACGACCCTGTGAAAACGTTCCGCTCCACCTCGTGATGTCATCGTGTGGTGATACAGGAAGTGCTCCGTTCTGTTTTTAAAGTCAACCCGTCTGTTGTAAGTTTGTTTTTCAAAATAAAATCAAAAATAAGAAAATGAAAAAACAGATAAAGGACTGAACCAGACCAGACCAGGACCAGGACCAGACCAGGACCAGACCAGGACCAGACCAGGACTGAGACTAGGACCAGACCAGGACCAGACCGGGACCAGACCAGGACTGAGACCAGGACTGAGACCAGGACCAGACCAGGACCAGACCAGGACTGAGACTAGGACCAGACCAGGACCAGACCAGGACCAGACCGGGACCAGACCAGGACTGACAGACCAGACCGGGACCAGACAGGACTGGACTAGGACCAGACCAGGACCAGACCAGGACCAGACCAGGACTGAGACCAGGACCAGACCGGGACCAGACCGGGACCAGACCAGGACCAGACCAGGACCAGACCAGACCTGAGACCAGGACTGAGACCAGGACTGAGACCAGGACCAGACTGGAACCAAACCTGGACTAAGACCGGGACTGAGACTGGAGGCTGGGACCGGGACCAGGACTGAGGACCGGGACTGAAAACGGTTTAGTCCTTGTTTTAGTCCTGTCTTAGTTCTAGTTCAGTCCGTTATCTGTTTTTTTTTTTTTTTCCATTTTTCATTTAAACACAAATTTCAAAACTTAAAAAAAAACGAATTATCAGTTTTACCTTTTGTTTTTTTTCATTGAAGAAAATTTTTTTTTTTTTTTTCATTTTCTTCTTTTTGGTTTTATTTTGAAAAACCAACGACCCACAGATTAAACTCCACACACCTTCACTAGAATCATTATGGATCGTTTCACTACAGGAACAAGGAGCTGCTCACTTTGAAACCTCCCACTCGATGACATCACGAGGTGGAGCAGAGCGAGAGTCCGTCTGGACAGAGGAGACGCTGCGGCTCAGAGTTTCTTCATAAAACACAATATTCAACTTATGTACAAGAACGAGCCAGGGCCCTACGAGTCCGGATCCAGACCCAGACCTGGTCCAGACCTGGTCCTGGTTTAGTCCTGGTTTAGTCCTGGTTTAGTCCTGGTCCAGACCTGGTTTAGTCCTGGTTTAGTCCTGGTTTAGTCCTGGTTTAGTCATAATCTCATGTGGCAAAAAAACAATCTTTATTTCATGAATTTAATCTTTACTTTTGTCCCAGAGTCTGTAACGAGCACGAGACCTGTCAATCTGGTTCAGTCCTGGTTCAGTCCTGGTTTAGTCCTGGTTTAGACCTGGTTTAGTTCTGGTTTAGTCCAGGTTTAGTCCTGGTTCGGGCTGTAGGACCCTGGTGTGTGATGAAGCACAAACAAAAGGCAGAAACCAAAGGCACTGAGTGAAGAAGAAACACTGATCCAACACAAACACACACACACACACACACAACACACACACACACACACACACACACACACACACAAACACACACACACACACACACACACACACACACACACAACAGACACACACACACACACACACACAACACACACACACTCGATACTCGATACCGATTCTGATCTCACGATGAAAATAAAACTCTTTCTTTAGACGATTTCCTGTGATTTTACACTTTAAATGATAAAACTTTATTTTCTGTTTCCATGAGTCTTTACGTCTGTGTGAACCTGGTTTAGATCTGGTTTAGTCCTGGTTTAGTCCTGGTTTAGTCCTGGTCCATGACTCCTTCTATCTGTGTAATCCCTCTGTGATCCAGATCTAAACCAGGTCTAAATCAGGACTAAACCAGGTCCGGGACCAGACCGGGAGCAAACCAGGACTGAGGCCAAGACCAGACCAGGACCAGACCAGCCCGGGACTGAGACCAAGACTGGGACCAGACTAGACCGGGAGCAGACCAGGACTGAGACTGGGACCAGGTCTAAACCAGGACTAAACCAGGTCCAACACATTTTTAGTATCGATATTTGCGAAAAACGAGGATCTTGTTTCGATACACACACACACACACACACACACACACACACACACACACACACACACACACAGACACACACACACACACACACACACACACACACACACACACACACACACACACACACACACACACACACACACACACACACACACACACACACACACACACACACAGACACACACACACACACACACACACACACACAGACACACACACACACACACACACACACACACACACAGACACACACACACACACACACACACACACACACACACACACACACACACACACACACACACACACAGAATCAGGTTCCTTCGTTTCAAAATAAAACACAAACTTTATCGAAGTGTTTTAAACTGAAAGTGTGTCGTCGTGAACAGCAGCGAGAGACAAACACAGACACCGAGCTAGTACAGGCCGGAGGGACGAGGGCCGAGGGGGGCGGGGCTAAGGGACGCAGGGGGCGGGGACAGGTGGGACAGTCCTGGTGTAGTCCTGGTTTAGCCCTGGTTTAGTCTTGAGTACTAGTTTAGTCCTGGTTTAGTCCTGGTTTAGTCCTGCAGCAGCTCGTCCCTCCGGCCCTTACAATCTTAGCATCGAACAAAACAGTGAAACAATCGGTGAGAGGGACACGTCACGTCCCACAAAACCAACGCCGGAGCGAACCTCCGGAACGCCGGAGCGAACCTCCGGAACGCCGGAGCGAACCTCCGGAACGCCGGAGCGAACTTTCAAAATGCCGGTGGCCTCTTTTTTGACCAATCCCAGCGCAGCGTCCGTCCCCCCGGCGCGTACACTGAGGTCGTCCTTTCGGCCCGTACAGTTTGAGTGTTGTTGTGAACAGCGCCCCCTGCAGCTCCTGCGGTGCCGCTCCTGAGAAGAGAAAGCGCCCCCTGCTGTCCTTAACGCGGCACCGCACCTCGCTCTGTCCTGCTCTCTGATTGGCCCACGGAGCCGCAGACTCTCTCCTCCCTCTGATTGGTCCTTGAGCCCGCGGCCCCTCCCTCTTTCCTCCGATTGGTCCTTAGAGCCCGCGGTTCCGCCCTCGTCTCCCCGATTGGTCCCGGAGGCCGCGGCCCCGCCCCCCGCCCTCACGCCTCGCTGTAGTTGCTCTGTGCGGCGAGTTTGTCCTTCTTGAGCTTGACGCCGTCCACCAGTTCGAAGTTGTAGTTCTCGAGGGCGGAGAGGTTCCTGTCGCTGAGGCCGCCCTGAGCGCAGGCGCAGTACAGCACCACGCCGCAGACGGCGCCCACGCACACGCCCAGCGCCGACATGGCGATGATGGTGATGAGGATGGGGTCCAGCGTCTTCAGCATGTTGCCGGGGGCGCCGAGCTCGCTGCTCTCAGACGAGTCCATCGCTGAAACACAAACACCACAGAAACACCAAGTTTTACTCAAACCTCTAAAACTGCGCTCAGAGTCTCACGCCGCCGTCCCACGTCTTTATACTCGAGGACACAAGGACACAGTTTCATTTCTCTCCAGCTCGAGGTGAGGAATCACAAAACACTAGACGATTTACAAAAACCTTGGAAGTGTGAGTTCGAGCACCAGCCAATCAGAGAAGAGACAGACGTTCTGTGTTGGCAATGACTCCCCAGATCAACGCGGATTTAAAGTCGGAACAAAGAGAATGTTTGGTGAATTTATCAAGAGGAAAGACGTTATTGTTGTTCTTCCTACGGGATTTGGGAAAAGCTTCATACACCAGTCGGCCCTGACAGATCCATGAGTCACCCTGCCTTCCATTTTCCTTCTGAATCAGTTTTCCAAGGAAGTTGCCTGGCAACAGGCGTGACACAGCGCTTTTCCTGGGAATCAGAACTTGGTGACAGAAAAAGTCGACCGAGTAAGGATTCCGAGTCAGAGGTCAAGACGGCTCTGCCCACTGTGACGTGCAAATATGAAGTGTTTTCATTGTGTTTGGACTTTGGGGTTTAAATGAGTTTCAGTCACTGAACGACTTTACTTCGTCTGTTTCTGTGTCTGTGGGTTTGGGAGTCGTGTCGTGGTGAGGTTTTCCGAGTCCGAGCTCGGACATCGAGTCAAATCTGAGGTCCCAGTGGGAGTCAGAAGAAAATCAAACGTAGGATTAGTGGATCATTACAAACGTCTCGACCAAACAGCAGCGCCTGGTTCAATAAAAAAGTCCCCGCCTCCTGTCAAATGAACGAATCCTAATGCTGCAGGTCACACGGTTTACACCAAGTGAAACCGACTCACGAATCAGACTAGAGGAACATGACAACGGTTCATATTTTTACCGACTGTGTTTGACCACAGTGTGAACAAGATAAGAATGTTCAGTCGGCTCCTGAACTACATGGACCATGATCCTTTGCGGTCGCGTCGTCGGCCTGTGTTCTCACTGTGGACTTTAAGTCTGAGATCTAGAAGCATTTTGTT